CTAGAGAAATCTCACACGTTGTCTGGGTACTCACATTGCCCCACCCCACAGCACATGTCCCACTCAGGGCAGTGACGTGGGGATGGATTATCCCCATTCCAGAGGCAGAGAACTGAGTCACAGACTAATTAAGTCACATGCCTGTGGCCATGCCGGAAATGTGTGACAGGGCCAGGAATAGAACCCAGGTCTCCTGAGTCCACCTTCCTGGCCCCAATCATCAAGCCATCAGTCCCCTTCTCACAGCTGTGGAACTCACGTTACCCCTCAAAGCCCCAGGTGCAGAGGCAGGATTAGAACCCAGGTCCCTGACTCCCCCTTTGTGAGCCCTACCCAGCAGCCCACACCACTTACGCATTCCAGTCTGGGATGGATTTCCTGGTCCCTCTGACCCCTCCAAGAGGCTCAGACACTACAAAGTTAGACCTTGATTTACGCATGGGAAATCCTAGATTCATGCAGCCAAGGCCCTCGCCCAGTTCCCTTCCCACCGCTGCTCCCGTAACTATCCACAACTGGCTAAAACCGGCTCTCAAACTGGGGGCCGAGACCCCAGAGTGGGTCATAGCCCCGTTTCAATGGGATTGGCAGGCTGGGGTTAGAGCTGATGGAGCCGAGGCCAGAGCCCCACCATCTCTAGCCCCGGGCAGTGAGGTTCAGGTCACAGGCCCCTCCACGGGGGCTGAGACTCGAGATGTGACAGTGGAGTCGATTAACCGCTAAGCAGAAGCGTAGAGGTTAATGCTACAGACTACACGCACTCCCCCCTCACCAGCAAAGGTTTTAGCAGGCTGGCCAGCAGGCCGGCTCAGTCCTGGCTCACGCCAGATCCGGGACCTGCCCCTGCTGCGGCTCTGCACTGAAAGCGTATTAGGAGCCAGGTGGGCAGACAGCCCGGCCCAGTTCCAGCGAGTCCTGGGTCCAGGAGCTCAGCCCCACCCCCGGACAAGGGCTGCTGTCACCCTGCACTGCTGCCTCTATGAGAGGAGCTGGTTTTTAAACTGCCCCCCCTCATAGACCAGCTCCTGCCTGGCACCTCTGATAGAGGCAGCAGTGCGGGGGGGCAGGGGGCTCCCCGGGAGCGAGGCCAGAGCGCACAGGTTGCTGGCCCCGCCCCCGGGGCTAAAGGACAGTCAAGTAAACCGACAAGAATTCGTGAGGTTAATCGACTATTCGGGTAACCGACATCTGACATCCCTAGCCGAAACCCTTGGGCTCGAGCTTCGCCCTGCCCCCCAAAACCGACGGTGGCAGGGATAGGCAGGCTCAGGCGTCAGCTCCCCCTCCCCCGGGTTGCGCGGTAAGTTTTACTGTCAGGAGGTGTTGCAGAGCAATGAGGTTTGAGCACACAGGGCCAGAGATGCGGGGGAATAAAGACAGGCCTGCCCTGTATCTGGGCCGACTGCAGTCACAACGGTTTGCACACTGACTCAAAGAGATCTGCTTGGCCTGTCCAGTCTTCCCTCACCGCTTGCTTTTCTAGCCCATGGGCACCTCACTGGGGACCTCCCGGAGCCTGCAGGAGACAAGCCATGGCCTCGTGGCGTGCAGGGCACTGGACTGCGCCTCGGGCGCTCTGTGGCAGATGGATAGCGACGCCGAGGGGAGGTTTCCAGGCCAATGCGACGAGGACACACCGGCACGGCACCTCCTCTTTCCAAACCAGCATTACCACACAAGACAGCCTCGCAAAGGACGTTCGGGGGGTGCCTGCAGCACGCGGGAGCGGATTCATTCCCTGCCTCTCGTGAGAAGGATCCGAGCAGAGTAACTCGGAGGGGCTGGCCAGCCGAAGCGTCTCACCTCAGTAACAAGCCGCTTCCGCACTGGACTCCTCTCTACCTGGCGAGCCCGCGGGCAATCTGGCCAGGGACAGGCGGCGGCAGAGAACCCGCTAACAAAAAGCTGCCATGGCCAGGCGTCAGGTCCCACCCGCCCGCTAAGGGAAGGGAAGGGAAGGGAGCGCTTCCGGACTCTCCCAGAGCATCAGCAGGCCCCCTGCTCACAATGCACGGTCCCCCTGCACCCGGGGGTGGGGCTTTGCAAAGGGAAGCTGGAGATGCAGCGCAGGGATGAAGCCATTCGTGTAGCTGTGTCACACGTGGGCTCGGCATGCCTGCGGATCCCCCGGCAGACAAAAACAAAGGGAGGGGACCAACAGCAGCCGAAC